TTCTACATAATGTAGTAAAGGCCTACACTGTGCTGCCCTTTCGTTAACTTGAGAGTCCTAAAAAATGAGGGACCAATACTAGAAATGTCCTAGTCAATCACGATTTCAGAGTAAAGACGACTGTTTTCAGAAGCCAGCTGTTTTAAATCTAATACAATGAATTATATTATCCTTTGATTCCTAGAAGTCATTTAAAAATGAAACTAGATCTATGTATATAGTTGCTAGGCAACTCTGGTATTTTCCTGAAGTGTTGTCCCATGAGAATATAGTCGGCTAGTGTTGAATGTTATGACTATAAATATTGTTCGTTCATGTGAACACAGTTTAAATGGTTAAGAAAGTCTGCCGCTTTGTCCCTTTATCCAGGGCCACTGGTTGTATGGGATTACTGTACTTTCCCATGACAAGATAGAAATATACTGTATCCCTGTGACTGCGTACAAGGCGCAGAACTGTTCCTCCTACAGACATTAGTAGTATTGTCTGTACATAGGTGGGTTCAGAAAATTCTGCTGATTTTGTAATCAATTGGTTGGATTTGATTTAAAAGTATGAAAAACAAGAACAGCATCAGTAGCAATTTTTAAAAAATGTTTATTTACAGAAAAGCAGTATTGAGACCAATAGTAGGCCTACGTAAGTAGGCCAACATCGATACAGTGCTAAAAAGTTCACAAAAAGACATTCATTATCAACATAATGCAATCTCTTTAGAAAAACAGTCAAAAGCAAGTAAATAAATAAAGAAAAAAATTTGAACTTGACATACACTTGATATAAAGATACCGGTGCGATCATCATGTTCAAACTTTGCATTGCTCATTCTGGCAACTATCTTTTCTGGTGATTTAAAAAGTTCATTGTACAAAATATACAGACTCATACACTGTATGGAACCAATACAAGAAAGAGTATGGTTAAGATTATGTCATATTATATAAAAAGTAATTAATATCATTTTTTTAGCAAAAAGTTGTCATTTACTGACTTCATATATCTTCGTACTACAGGTAAGTTGAATGCTAGCAATTTCTCTCTTTTTCAAGTTAAAGTCAAAAGCTAACAGAAAACGTAAACAAAGGTTTTTAATCTATAACAAAAACATAATCAAGCACAAAAGCTTAGGAAAAACACCACATGTCACTTTAATTAAAAAGAGGGACAGGATATTTTTTTTAGCATGCTGAGATGTTGCTGGTAATAGATTTAATTTCTAGATTATCAGAATGAAATAAAATTTGTTCATTACATATATTCTTTTTCTGTGTAAACGTTTTGCATTAGATACAAAAACTTAAAACAGGCTTTTTCAATATAACATCAACAGAAAAGTCAAGTGAAATTAAAACCTTCAATTAACTTCATAAGACTGGGCCAAGTATTCTCTCAGCCTTGGTGGTGATGGCGACTCCCAGGTCAATAATGATAACTTTTATCATTCATATCCTATAAGCTCCAATACTACTTACATGACTCTCTCGGTATCACTGTTCCTTTCTTCTCTCCTCCTCTCTCTCTCCCTCTCTCACCTTCTCTTTCTCTCTCTTGATCTCTCTCTCACCCTGAGTGAGTATTTGCATCATAACAGAGCCTTCATAGCTTACACAATAAACATAAAGCATACTGAGTTTGCTTGAAATGAAACAGGTGAGATCTCATATATTCAAGAGATGTATTCCTACTTTGATTTGTGGAATGTGAGGAACATTGGTAGAGGCAGAGCACCCATTGGATGACCCTCATTTCCTGGTGGCATTGTATAACAGACCACGGTTCCTGTACTTTTTGAGACGAAGAAAGAGATCACCATCTAGGAGTACTAGTACTATCTAAAACAGCTTCCAGTTTCTTGCATATATTTCTTTGAAATGAAAACCATCGGTAATTTTTCAATTAAAACAATATTAGTGAACATAAACAAAAAAGATGAAATGGCCAATCAGAACTTGTACCTATTGGCAGTGCGCCGTTTCAGCATGCGTGATATGTCACTTCTTGTTTTGGCACACAAGCGCGGGGTGCGTTGCTTTTTGCCTCGGCGTTTGACGGTGAGCAATGCATCTGAAAAAGACAACAGCACACAGTGTACACATGGTCCTAAACTATACAGTGATAATCAAAAGTATCTTACTTGGCAAAGGAAAATAAAACATCTTCAGCTCATATATTTCATTTCACAAAAAGAAAAAAAAAAGGTATTTTTTTAGAAATTACACGATACCCCCCACTGCCAATCCCCTGTATAGATGCTTAGGCAGGGTAGTGTTGATCCAATAAATAAAAGAACTCATTTGCACTTGCTTGCATTTAATGAAGATAGAAATCCTCTGAAAACACATGATGAGAGCGTGTGATTGTGGAAGCAACCATGCTCTCAATGTTTTACTTTGAGTGTCTCCTTTTCTTTATCAAAGAAACTGCTCTATTTTTTCATGTTTATTTTGCCCCTCACCATAATCCTAGTCTGTCTGCCTGTTTGTCTGTCTATCTTGTGTATTTGAGCACACGTGTGTGTTTGTGTGTGTATGTGTGTGTGTGTGTGTCTGCCCATATTGCTGCCTGCCTCCCTCCCTCCCTCTTTGCCTGCCTGCCTGC